ATCATCAAGTGCTTTGCCTATTGGCGTGGGCATCTGCATGTATCACTTTATGTGTTGACATTCCTCCATGGAATGACAACATTTTGTCAAGAATCTTGGAGCTGTCTTTGTCTCTCTTTCCACAGATCTTTCCAGGGTCACAACATGTTCTAGTTTCCTTCTTCTCATAACATGACCCAAACAATGGTAACTCTCTATTTTTGATGTTTGTGATAACTGTTTACTCAATATAATCCACAAACTACTAAAGCATGAATAACACCTGCATCACTAGAAAGTTCTGCATAAGAAAGCATCTGTACTGTTTATTTGTTACTTAGATTACTGTAAAGCTAACTAAAGCTACGATAAAAGGACATATGCAAATGAGACCTGAAAGATATCAACATTGGCACAGAAACTTGGGGCGGATCAGCTGCAGACCGACTCCTTTGGAGGCAGACAGTATAGGATGGCCTGTCACAGTTTGAAAAAGGCCAAATAGAGCAAGCTTCAGAGAGGAAACCAGCCTCAGAATAATAGACTGCTTGAAATATTCTTAATAACATTGTCTCTTATTTCATTCGCTGGCATCAGCTGAACATGAGTCAGCCCTGTTCCCACAAATGACTGTTTCCTAACAAACTTTTCTGGTAACTGCTCATTAGATAACTTTTACAGTAACAGTTTATTATATAACTCTTACAGTAGTAGTTTATTATAGCACTTTTACAGTTAACTGTTTAATAAAGAACACTTACAGTACCAGTTCATAGAGAATTCTCACAGTTAACTATTTAAAAGATAACTCTTACAGTTAACTGTTTAAGAGAGAATTCTCACAGTAATTCTTTATCAGAGAACTCTTGCAGTAGCAGTTTTATAGAGAACTCTTACAGTTAACTGTTTAATAGAGAATTCTCACAGTAACTGTTTATCTGAGAATTCTTGAAGTAAATCTAAATGTTCAATGGAGAAAACATGCAAATAACTTTTTATCAAAGAACTCTTGCAGTAACTGTTTAATGGACAAATTTTGCTGTCACCATTTATCTGACAGTTAAATGTGTAACATAGAACTCTTACAGTAACTGTTAAACTTAGAACTGTTACTGTAACATCCAAGACAAAGTATGTTATTGCATATATTAAGAGAATGATTTCAACTGTAGCCTGTGAGTGGTCTATAGAATATATATTCTGAACTCTTGCATACCAGCCCAATATTATGTAAATCTAGTCTATGCAGGCTGTTTCTTCAAACCTCTAATACATTGGTCACTAGGTAAATAAAGGGTGTTTATGATGGGTACTTGATACTTGCAACATCTGTCTAGTTCAGCTCAGGCAAGCTGCAACTTTCCACAACTGACATCCAGTCAAGTGCACAAGGACAACAATGGCAGTCTCTTTATGGTGATACACGTGGTGAATAAATTGGTGCATATAATTCAAACAAATGAATTCATTGCGTCATTTCATTTTTATTAATTTCCATAATATGTACATGGCTAGATACATAGAAGCCCGTCTCTCTAGCGTAGTTGGCTAAACCGGATTGCACGGTGAGCGGGTGACGAACTCCTTGTGGTCCGGGTTCACTCCCGGAGGTGGGCAGAAAAGCCACATTTCTCCCAGATTTAAGGTATTTAAAATGGAATCAAGGCCGAAAGGTTGCGATATCCATAATACCGAGCCTAAGGGTTAACAACTCATGGCTTCTGGATACTAAAACAAAAACAAACAAGATACATAGAACTATGAGTGACAATAAATTGTGCAATCTTATTTTTGTCTTCTTTATTTATACATTTTAACTTTACCCATTAACAACTGCTGTTCTGATAATCTTTTACAAAACTTACTACTTCAAAGTACGCACTGGGGAAGCATGTTTATGCACCTTCGAGGCTGAGACAGGAGACATTATAACCAGCTCCTCATGGGAACAATCAGTAGAGGTACTTTCGAATTTCTGCTACAGCGGAGGACTGGGCACATATGGTAATGCCCAATTTTATTGACACAGTAGTTTTGATTGTGATAATACAACATAACATGCACTGTCTGCACTACAAGGCAGTCTTATTCTTCTGTCTTTCACCTTCAAATGGAGGGCAGACCCTCAACCAACTCATGCCATGCCCTGTGTGGATTTCTTCATGATTATTATTTGGATTCTGCAGTAAAAGTTTACTATAGGATAAGGTGGCTTGCATCATATCAATGCTCTTTTCTTCTTTAGTGGCACTTATGATATGCATGGTAGGATACAGTGTTATTATTCTTTACCTTCCCTGTGGACCAAAATATATGGACATCAGATGAGGAACATGGGAGATCTGGAGCCTAGAAACACATTCTTAGTGAACTATTTTCACTATAGGTATTACCACTTTTAGTGCAGTAGGACTAAGGAGTTTGTGAGCCTGAGGATTCAAAGCTACATGGCTAATGCAACTGCCATAAGCAGTAGAGGTTAGGATTTGTACTCTGCTCCCCCCCCCCCCCCATATCTATCCATTAGTGCATCTCTTTATCCAATTTCCCATACCATACAAAGCATACATGGAAAGAGAAGGACGTAGAGCACGGGGTAGACCAAGAACAAGATGGAAAGATAACATCAGAGAAACTCTACAACAGCACGATGTGCCTATGGTCGAGGCAGCCAGAAGAGCTAGAAACAGAACCTTATATCTCCCTCGACACCCACAGCGGTAAAAGAGGAAGTGAAGAAGAAAAAGAAGAAGTGCATCTCTTAGGCTGTTAATTATGGACAAACACTGGGGAGGGGGGGGGGGGGTCAACCTTTCTAAACTAAACTTCTTCTACCAATGGTAATATGAAGAAATTAAAACAAAAACTGCAAAAACAGAGATAGGAATGGATTCAGCGAATGCTTTAAGCAAAGTCAAGCTCCATTAAAAACATAACTAAAACATCACAAACCTTTATTAAGGACTGGAAGCACTGAGCAAAAGAAAGATGTATGCAGACGGTGTAAACAACTGGGTAATAAATAACTATAAGAAACACCAGCTTTATCAGACAACAGAGAGGACTGGAGCCCCATGACTGCTCCATGTCTGATTTCAGTTGTGCTTAAGTTTAATTATGGTCCCTCCTTAACTCCATTCCAAATTTATATAGAATGGTTTGGAGATTTGTTTTACCTTCTATGTTAACACTTTTAGTACCAGCTGGTTTGTCTTGGGCTGATCTACCAATATGCTAGAGTGTCATTTCATGTCTGGTACCTGGCAACTAATTTTAGGCTAATCTAAAATGCCAAATAGCAACTTCGAATTACTCTTAAGATTCTTTGTGATTAAACAAGTAGTCTACCTGTTCCAAACAGTAAACAACATAACTACTGAATAATCTTCTTCATGTTCGTCAAAGCAGTTTATAGTTTCAGAAGCTTTGAATTAAAATAAACCAAGAAATTGTTCATAAATAGGTCAATCTGGTTAAAGAAAGTAATAAAGTATACACTTCTCAGCCACCTGAAGTTAAGCTTTGATAGAGAACTCAGCTGCACTGTACCTCCTGCTAATATTTCACCACCAGCAAAATTATTTATTGTAACAGAATAATATTATTCATTAACCTTCCATTCTGACATGAATCATGTGATTGTGTGCAAACATAAGTAGCTGTCTGGGCTTTTTCATGTTTTAGATTAGTGAAATTGCAAATGTACCGTCTTCAGCTGCTCACATCAACCCCCTGGTGCAGAAAGAGTTTAATGTGTTATCCAGCATGTTAGCTTTAACATATGTAAACTAAACACACAAACTACTAGACTTGAAAATTAAGAAACCTTCAGAAAAACAAAAAACAAAACCAGAGCCACCAACAAATTGTGACAATAATTTTTGGGCTATCCTCCGAATAACTGTCACAAAAGATGGTGGCCGCAAAAACACTCTAAAAGAGCCTCAGTCACGTGTCAATTGCGCACTTCCGGCGACCTAATTTGCGGTATTCCGGCGACTACCGCCACCGCCGAGAGTATGGATTGAGGCTAAACTAGATGGCTGGGACTCACGAGCAGCAGCTTCTGCATCTCCTGCAGATTTGCTCATGAGTCCTAGCCATCTAGTTTAGCCCCAATCCACAGCGCGCGTAGCGGCGTGGGAGGTACTCTCGGCGATGGCGGTAGTCGCCGTAAAACCGCAAATTAGGTCGCCAGAAGTGCGCAAAATGACACGTGACTGAGGCCTTGTTTTGGTCGCCATCTTTTGTGCCCGTTATTTGGAGAATAGCCCATTTTTGTCTAAATGCAGACATCCTTATGAACCACAGAACACCACTACATTTTATTATCCAGTAGTCATAGGCAACCTAGCTATACTGATTTTAGAATCAACATCAAAGCCACATGTGCTCCATCTCCGCAGCAAATGTCTTAAAGTGTAGATACTAACTGTTCCTGTAACACACTGAATTTACTGGTCATTCTCTTCTTTCTAACTATACCTTTCCTGGAGGTTGAACAGGGTATACAGGTTTTGCCTTTTTCGTTTGACATACAGGGTGCGCCTCAAGGCGTCGCAGGTGCCACTGTTGGGATGAGGATCACCCATGGAAAGGTCCAGGAAACCCCGTTCAACCTTTATGTTATATTTGTATTAGGTCCTCCGGCAACAGCCGGGGGGGGGGGGGGGGTAAAAAATTGCACGTGAGGTTTAAATAAAATCCTTGTAAATTTGCTTCCGACAGAAGTGGCACTTTAAATGCTGCATAGGGATAGTGACTGACTGACTTTCTACCCCACTAGGACATCACACAAGCGATAAACACCCGATGACACAAAGTGCCACCATGCGAATGAGGATCACCGTGGAGAGGTCCCAGAAACCGCGTTCAGACAATTGGCCATATTGATGGCCTGCCTATATTGCGGGTTCTGGCAAAAGCCAGAGTGGGGCTTCATAGGGATAGTGGATAGATAGTCGTGACTAATTATTTTCGATTTACAAACAGTACACTGCATAAAGCTTACATATACTTACCTAACATCATGCGAAACCAGGAGCTCAGCAAAGTTAACAATAGGCAGCTGAATAAAAGAAGCACGAAGCATCGCCTTTTGCGTATAACATATCGTCGAATCGAAGCCATAGCAGTGTACATCGTTGGCTTCTGCTACAAGACGGTTAGCAAAACTGAACACCTACTGTGTACTGGCAGTGACTGCCCTTGACTCAGGTTTCTCTCCCTTGTCGACCTCCCGCCCTTTGGCTTGTCTGGTCACAGCGTAAATTATACAACCTTTTTTCCACTTACAACCCTAGGGGTAAAACGGAATATTTTTCAGGGATTTTAAAATCTAGATACAAGTGCCGACACTCGCCATAAGGTGTCTAAAAAAGTATGTCGGTGCTCACCACAAAATATATACGTATTATAGTAGCGCTAAAAAAATGATACCAAAAAGAAAAAAGGTCCTTTACTTAAAAAAATTTCCAGGCACCCCTTCTCACACCCTCTCTCCCTCCTCCCCCCCCCCCCCCCCCAAAAAAAAAAACAGAGGCGCGCGCGCAAAAAAAAAAACCAAAAAAAAAAACACACACATTTTGGGTGAAGAGGTCTCAAGGTGACCTGAACTCGAGGTCCCTGGGCTTATGGATATAATATAACCAAACGTTGCTGTAGAGATTGCCACCCAAGATTCACACCGCCCATAACAGCTCTCACGCACACATCTTTATCCAGGCTTCTACATTAACGTTTTACCACACTGTGGTAACATATTGCCACTCCATATTAGACTATTTCGTAACCATCTGAACACGCTAATATAGCTGTGTTAAACGATTTAACAGCGTTTCTGTGTGTGCTCTCTGATCTCGAAATGTTAATCTACGTACAGCAGTCCTGGGGAAAAACAATGACCACCATCCCCCTGAGATTGTAGAAATCTCTGTCTGAATGGTAAGCCAAAAAGGCAAATCCTAGAAACCCCGTTTAACATCCAGTTAGCACCAGAAGCAGTTACACAATGCTGTAACCTACAGCCCTTTAGGTGAGGATTACTTGTAGAAAAACAGATTTATAATGTTATTTTTCTGGGTCAATGTAAAATGTATTTAATGTCAATAATGTATTGCTTTTTTTTTTTTTTGGGGGGGGGGGGGGGGGGTGTTACTTCTTCTAATTTTACTAGAAACAATGAAAATCCTCGAGTTCCCGGCGAAGTCAAATATTCTAGTGGTGTTATGGGTTGGAGTTAGGGTTATGGGGTTACTATTAGGGTTAGAGTTAACAGGGTTAGTGTTAGAGTTAACTGGTATCTTTTAGGCCGACAAAGATCCTAACCCTAAATACAACCCTAACCTCGACCCATAGACTATTGGACTTTTCCAGGAACTCCGGGATTTCCTTTTTTAGAGTGAATTTAAACTAAAAAAAAAAAAAGGTGTCGCTTTTTGTGCATTATAAACTGATGACGTTTGATAGGACCAAGGTATTTTATTCAGCAGTTATACTCGTTATCATCAAACGCCTTGCCGAATAGTATGGGCGAGCACGACTCCTCACAACCTGCGATCTCCAACAGTGTGTATCGGGTCTTGTGATGACACCCCTCTCCCCGGTGCTCTCATGTTCAGTTTCAATTTCTGGTGACTTTCTTTTTGATGTCTGTGATAAAATATATTCATACAATCACTTTTTTTTTTTTTTAAACAAATGGAGTACACATTTTTTAATGTTCGGGAATTTTTCTGTAGAGCCATATATCTGAGTTCTCAGTAAATTGTTGTATATATAAGACATCCACGATTTACAGCCATATTTTAAAACTGGCTCCATACAGAATGCAAGAATTCTTTTTATAACCACCCATGACACGTCCGCATTGCATAGGATTAATTGCATTTTTATAAAATGCCGTTTTTGAAAACCTATTCTGCTCGTTATCTGATGTTAACCATGTACTTAGATACTTTACTATTTTTGTTTTTGTTTTGTACTGGTCCTAAATTACACTGTTGACTTTAAATCTACATTTTGGGCACAATTTTTTTCTTTGAAATTAACGTTAATTCAGTCTTCCCATTATTCAAGCTGAGGACCATAACAGTTATGGAACTGTAACAGGTGAACTGACGAATTACAAGAGGAATACATTCCAAAGCCCTTATTTGTTGTTTAGTGGCTGTGGATCGATTATCGGTACATCATGGAAGCGACCACCTTCCATGTTGGATTCTAGTTTTTAAAAAATGCACAAGATCCCAGAGACCAATCACTACTTTCAAGTACGCTGCATATCAGCCTGGCGTAACTGGGCATCACGCAGACCACCGGGAAAAAAGAAAACTATCTTTCAACAACCCCCGTGATAGACACCTGAAGTCTCAGAAGCCTGGTTAGAGAAACGAGGTGCCACCAAAGACTGGGTGAATTGCAGAAAGTCTTCGATTTTTTCTGATGCAAAAAAAAAAAAAAAAAGACATTAAACACACACAAAAAAAGACAGCCTCGCTGAACACTTTAAACAACTCGCAAAGGAGTCTAAATACATACTTCGGGAAGATATTTTGGCAAGAAATAGGATACGAAAGATTTCTCAGAAAATTATGGCGGCTCCACCCGAGCTCAAAATGGACAACGGAGTAGTGTTACAGCTGGATGAATACAAAGGGGAGGCTATCCTGCACATATTTCTCTTGCAGACAGAATAGGCAGATAGGGAAGAGTGAGAACAGACGAAACAAAGAATACACGATATCCACATGGCTGAAATGGAAGAAAACGATGATACAGTGTACATCTCGACTGAATGCATGCAAAACTGAAGACCTGTCCAGCTAATAGTGAGGGTACTGCTGGGGTGACCATTTGTTAACCCCTCACATAATGCTTCAAGTCACAGTGGACACTAGGCACGACCACTTTTTTTTTTTTTTTTTAAAGCCGTGGCAGTTCTGCCAGGCGGTGGCCGTTGCATTTTTGCTCCATTTGTAGACTGGAAGGATATAGTTTCGTCACCCAGCTTCTGAGTTGAGTGCATGGTGTGACACTGTGAGCTACGAGTGTTTTTCGTTGGCACAGGAGCGGAGCAACAATGGGGTGACCCGTTTGCTATGATGCTGAAACTAGGATTACCAGATTACCAGATTACCTGTCCAGACACAGCTCCAGGGCCCGATGGCATTAAATACAGTGACTTCAAAAGCCTCAAGGAGACAGATAAATTTTCACGATTTTGAACAACACCCTGAAAACTGGCCGCATCCCTGATGACTGGCTCCATAGCTCCTCAGACCCGTTGCTAAGCCAGGGAAAGACCACGCGAGAATACATGGTTACAGAATCATCACACTCCAGAACACTGTAGAAAAGAGACCTAATGGAAAATTTCGTGGCCAAAACTTTGACCCAAACATTGGAGTCAGGTAGTCTATTCCCCGCCACATTAACTGGTGGTTACCGTCCGGGGAAAGATACATGGCGCAATGCTGCAATATTTGCCAATGGTACGTACGAGGGTTTCCAAGAGGGAATGGAAACGGCTTCAGTCGTGATTGACTTAGAAGATGCGTACAACGGCGTCTCATACAACATGCTCACCAGACTGCTGTTGGAAATGCAGATAAAAACAAATAAGTCAACTGAATCGCAGCAGCGCTATTCGAAAGGATAGTGTCGCTTCGATGTGGTTAATGGGCATAAAGAAATCAACGCGTCCTAACGGGTCTGCCCTAGTGATCACCATTGTCGCCTGTGCTCATTAATGTGTACACAGCAGGAGTCACGAGTGTACAAAGCCTAGGTCTAGTTAGATGGCGTATGCAGATGATATCTTTGTGTACCATCGAGGTAAAAACGGGCACGCAATGACAACCACGCTACAACACGAGCGCCCGGAGTCTACATACCTCCCCGCTGCATTATGCTCTCCATGTATGAGTGTCAATATCTTAAATTGTACTGGTTATCTCGTCCCTCAGTCGGGAGACCACCTATGCCTTGTGCGGCTGTAGTGGACCCCATATGACCAGTCTAGCCAACCTGCCTGTCATTCCTCGGCCCGCCTGTATGGCCTGGGCAAAATATCCACGTGACTCTCACCCGTTTGACCTCTGGACTGATACAACGCATTACATACAAAGAAAACCTGATTCTACGCATGCTTTGTGAATCCGATAATATGATACCATGTGTGGATGCGATTTTCTCTACCGATCGGAACTTCGCAGATACTTCTCAACATCCATTCTCAAGCTGCATGTGGTAATGGCGTGTGCCAGGTTCTCCTTAATCTCCTTCTCTCTCATGCTTTTGCATAACAGATATGGATGCATTGAAGCCCAACCAACCCTTTCTGCCCTTGGCCACTGACGCCCCAGTGTATATAATCCCATCTCCTGATCTAAATTGTTATTATCAGCTGTCGAACCTCTTTGTCTACCCGTCAAGCAGCCCATTCCATGCACTCCCGTCTTAATGTAGTAGTGGTAGTAGTAGTAGCAGCAGCAGCAGCAGCACAAGTAGTACTAGCAACAGCAGCAGTAGTAACGATTGAGTTACGACAGAGTTACCAGATAAAAGTATCCGGTACTACCCGTCTTCTGTTAACACCTAATGCTTGGGGGTTTTAACCAAATCTGACGTCATACACTGTACCAACAGCTTGTAGCGTAGAAACACACTTGGGAGGATATTAGCCTTATCATTGGAAGAGGAAATACAGCATGACAACTCTTTTTGTTATGGCTGAGCAGACCAGGCACTTAGCCTTGACTGGCAGCTTGTCTATGAGAGAAGCTTTGACATGCGAACAAATGGAACACTTCTTTTCTAACCTGGCAGCCATTTCCCGAACATAGCTTTTCCTGTCGCCTACCTATCAGGCCTGGTCGCTTTCAATTAATCACCCCCCCCCCCTCGCTAACATGCCTTTGAGTTCAAAGTCTCGGCGCTGGAAGATCCCGACTCCCAGTGTCTGACCGTAAAATTTCTTAGTAAAACCAAACATCAGTCAGCATATGCCAGCGTTGGTTTAGCAAGTCATGTAATAAAAATCCATGGAACTTTTAAAATGTAACATTATTAGGTACAACTAACGGTTCCCGGCCCAGGCATATCGTGATTGGCCGCTCATTCAATCTTGT